TCAAAAGTCACACCTTTTATTGTAGAGATATGTATTTTTGGATGCTGTATTTTCCAAGATAGATATGTCTTTTAGACGTGTTTTCATTAAGTTGTGTCCTTTTGAGACACGACTTTTGGACCATTGCATATAGACCCCCCGAGTTTGAAATTATTCATTCAATTCATCATTGCATTATCATGTCGATGCGTATTTTTTTCAAAATAATGTCATCATTTATTTTGAGTCGAATTTCATATAAAGAGAGTTCAAAACATAGTAAGTTCGCTGATCTACGCAATTTGAAGTTCTCCTATTACGAGACGTGGTCGTTATATTTAGGGAGACAAATGTACGTGGTGTTATCGTCTTAAGGACAAAGAGTCAAAGTCTTGCCTTGACCAGATTCATTGTTATACATTTCTCATTTCTGCTACTTTACAAATTTTGATTTAGATAAAGTCGAAATTCTATCAAGTTTATGCACGTGAAAAATTATTTATTAGAATATAATTTATGTATGTTAATTTTTCCAACCATTTTAAAATCGAGATTGCATCTGGGACTAACTAATGATCTAACTGGAAAAAAAGCTAATGGATTAAGGGTGTCAATGAGCCGAGCTGAGATGGCATGCTAGCAGAAGCTTCCAATTCGTTCACAAACCGGTTAAAAATATGCTCAAGCCGATCCGAAGCCAACCAAAATTAAGAGGCTTGACTCGTGCTTCTTGGCTCGGGCTTCACCGAGCTGAGTCGGCTTGTAACGCCCCAAATCCACTATACATTTTATTTATTTATTTAAAGGTTTGAAGTGTTACCAAAATATTTCTTTTATAATTTAAGTGGAATTTAACACTAATGTATAAATTTTGGTATTAAATCAAAAAGGTGAATTCAACAATTCAAAATAAAAATTTGAAGTTTATCCAGCTTAAAATACTACAAACTAAATTACCAATTGAACATGTTAAATAACTTAAATATCAAATCTACTAAAATAAGATAATGTCGACGCCAAATTAATTTAAGGGGGAAAGGATGTAACACCCCGAACTTTTTTACTATTTTTCAAAATAGGCCTAAGCTTAATATGGCTCACTTAGCAAATAAAATAGTCCATGTCTAGATTTATCGTCACACTAAAAGTCCGAAAGTTGAAGTGATAAACATGAACACATATTTGTATAAATGATTTATTCTGCATACGTATACTTTTTGAAATTTATCATGAGTTATTTTGGGTTAAATATTTAAGTATTTCAAAAGTCGATAAAAATATATCGATATTATACTCATTTTGTAACTTGTGCTAAATAACAAAAATTGACTCAAGAAGAAATAACTTTTGACTAACCATAATCGAGTTACCTTAATAGAAAGAAAATTATTCGCCCCCCAGGGCACATCCAAGTTGGCAGAACAATCACATTGGGGGGCTCTGGAACCAAGTGTGGGGAGTTCGATTCCTGGTTGGAGCAGCCAAGTGATGTAATAACCAGAGGAAGGGTTGGAGCAGTTTGGTGATGTAATAACCATGGAGGAGGGTTCCTTTGGGGAAGGAGTAAAAGCCATGTGGGAACCTGGGAACCAACAAGGGCACAACCTGCGATTTACCTCCACTAGTCACTGAGGGGCCGGGGGCTCGAGGTCTAGGATTTAGTCCGGCTAAGCTGGGACACCTGGGTTATCAAAAAAAAAAAAAAAAGAAAAGAAAATTATTCTAATCCTATATTTTACTAATAAAAAAAATTATGGGTATATATATAATAAATAGTAAAATGAAGACGTTTCTTGGAGTTTCATATTGAATTTTGTGCATATTGTTCAATACCTATTTTTTTTATGCATTTTCAACACTTAATGAAAGTGATGTATCCACTTAAATTAGACAAAAAAACAAAAAAAAATATCGGTAACACCTCGAGCTATTTTATTTAAAAATAATAATAAAAATGAAAATGATCTTGGGGCATATATATATATATATATATATATATATATATATATATATAATTAATCCTTTCCAATCAATGAATACTAATGTACACACTCACCATGATTGATTGAAATAAAGAGTAGGTTATTGAATTTTGTGCACATTATTTAATAGCTTTTCTTTTGCATTTTCAACACTTAATGAAAGTTAAATTTCCACTTAAATTAGACAAAGAAAATGTTGGTAACACCTCGAGCTATTTTTATTTAATAATAATAATAATAAATGAAAAATGTCTCGGGAGCGTTACATGGCTCACGAATTTTTTATTTTTTTAAATTCATGAAATATTCATATAAAGAAGTCAATCAAGTTTAATAAAAAATATTCGTATAGATACGAGAATATATGGCCCTTGTTTGGTATCCACTATTTTCAAAATACATTTTTCTTTCTTTTTTCCAACCACATATTATTCAATAGAATAATATTACACGCAAACCCAAAATTTTTATTTTTTTACCACATTCTTTATCAAAATAATATTCCAAAAATTCTTTTCATAAAAAAATGAGGCTCAAACAAGCTCATGATTAGAGTATAATTTTCAAGTGTATAAATGTCCTGATATTCACTTGTAGAATTAAAAATATTGGAATAGAAATTATTTTTTAAGTTTCAATACCACAAGTAACAAATAATATTATATGAACTCCTATTTAATAAAATTTAAAATTTATGTCAATAAAATATAACGGGTATACTACTGAATATATGATAATAAATTATAAATATAGATAGTTGTAACATAATTATGTAAGCATATTTATATATAAGTTATACTTTAGTGACTTAAATCTTAAATTAAATATTAATAAATCAACAAAATTTAGAGTTGGCAACGAGTTGGGCTGAGCCTTTGACATGGGCCATTTTCACGAACCAGCTGGTGTGGCTCGAAGAGCCCCACGGGTTGATCCAGGCTTGAGCCAAGTCTCGAAATTTGGGCTTGACTCGATAGAGCTTAGGTGACCCAAACTTTTTCAGATCGAGCCATGGGCCGAGTCAAATTAATGGCTTTAACATTATAATAATTCCAAATCAAAGTCTCCTCATTTTGGTGGACATAGTTGTCAGTATAAAAATGATGGCTGTGAAAAAACTAATGTGAACCGACGTCTGTCAAATTAATGGCTTTAACGTTTTAATGATTCCAAGTCTAGTCCCCATTAAGTTAATGGCTTTAACATTTTAAAAATTCCAAGTCAAAGTCTCCTCATTTCAGTGGACATAGCTGTCAGTATGAAAATGATTGCTGCGAAAAAACTAATGTAAACCGACGTCAAAGTCTGTCAAATTAATGGCTGTAACATTTCAATGATTTCAAGTCAAAGTCCCCATTAAATTAATGACTTTAACATTTTAAAAATTCCAAGTCAATGTCTCCTCATTTTGGTGGATATAGTTGTCAGAATAAAAATGATGGCTAACTTGAACTTGCATCTTTTGTTCTAATGTTGATGTCGTTACTTAACAAAAGATGTGATGGAACGTTGAAATGTCTATTAATCTAACATTAGTTTGCAACATTTTGCTCAGGAGGTCCCTTAGCTATTAACATTATTGATAGAAAATGTACAGTATGATATAAAAATTATTCTTTGTTCGTTTTGCCATTAGTTATGAAATAGATATAAGTCTTTAAGTTTCGCATCTCGTGTCATCATAGAAGAACGCTGTGATAGAATGTAGAAACAAACGTTTACTTCTCTTAAAATGGAGGTGGAAGTCTTCTCATGGTGGAAATAGTTTTAGACGAATGTAGTCCTTTATAGGTGGGGAGAATTGTGGAAATTTCTTCAATATGCAAAACTTGGCTAAATATGGTCCACCAGCCAGAGAAAAAATTGTTTGGAATGGAAAAAAATTTGTTTTTTTCTTTCAACAGTCAATCAACCAATTTTTTTATTGTAAAAGTTCAAGAATTTAAATATCTTATTATTGGGGCATTAACTGTGCATTACTCGAGCATTTTTTGTTAACAGTACTAACAAAGAAAAAGAAAAAACTATAAGTGCACCTTTATGTTTAGTTATAAACGTGTACAGTTATAAGCTAGGAAAAAAAATATTGCTGTATATGTTCATCCCAAATTGGTAGCGGTAGATACGAGGGTATTTAGTTGCTCCTTGTCCTAGAATGGTTATTTAAATAGCAATTATTCTTTCCTGCTGGTATGTTTTCTAATTGTGTTTTTCAAGTGAAAAAAGAGTTAATTTTCTCGATTTCCCTTTTTGCTGATTACTTTGTTCAAGGAAGATGCAATAACAATTTTTTTTTTTTTTTTTTTAAACATTGTATTAATGGCTGTACAAGGCAAGGTATACTTTTTTATCTTTTCGTGCTAGTCCTAGTCCTACCCCCCCCCCCCCCCGGGGCATAGAGCAGGTCTTGTGAGTGGAAGAACGGAGTATATAGCTGTTTGAACTAGTGATGCTTTGTATTTTGACGTGACCCATGTCGGTGTTCATTTTTATGATGCAATCCAGCCATTATGAGAAGCTTCCTCGGAGAATACCATATTGCCACCTATATTGCATCGTGATAAACAGTCGATATTTTTAGTAGAACTTTATAAAAATTAAAAAAATTGTGGATCCCATGAAATATGTTATTGAAATTAATTGTTAATTTTGATTTTGAATAAAATATGGATTTCAATCAATACCAAACATGAATTTATAAATATTTAAAAAAAAAAATTGGGGGGTCAAAGTCTCCGTCAAATTAATGGCTTTAACATTTTAGTAATCCCAAGTCAAAGTCTCCTCATTATAATTTACATCATTTTCCTCAGGCGGTCCCTAGGCTTGTGACATTAGTGAAAGGAAATATATGGTAGAATTCATTTCACCATTAATTAGTCAAGACATGATTGTAGAATATCATGAATCTTAATTTCTTACCAAATAATAAAAAAGGAAAAGAAAAAGAAGAAAAAAATCTACATGTCTTGTTATCTGGAATTTATAGGAAATTTCCTGGAGTTTGGACAATAACGTAAGGACAATATTATACGTTGAAAAAGTCATAAAAATGAATAGTAGTAGTTCCAGTCAATCTGCCGTACATCAAGTTTCTCCTTTAAAAAGGGAAGCTCCCAAAGTAGAAAATCCACCAAGCAACATATATAAGAGTTTTTTGCAGGTGAAGTGTGTTGAGAATTAAGAAAGATGGGAATAAAGTTATGGGTAATGTTAGTGATGATGGTGCTTTCATCACTAAATGAATGGTATTGTTTAGGGTGTTGGGAGGAAGAAAGGATTGCTCTTTTACACCTCAAAGTAAACATGAACTTTCCAGATGAAAGATCGCTGCCTTCATGGGTAGTTAATGAGAATGAAACTGATTGTTGTCAATGGCAAGGGGTTGAATGCAGCAACACAACTAAACGAGTAACCCAACTTAATCTTGATGGCGTTAGGGATTGAAAATTAGGAGATTGGTATTTTAATGCCTCTCTATTTCTTCCCTTTCAAAAGCTTAGACATCTCTCTTTGCAGTGGAATCAGTTAGTAGGTTGGATTGAGAATGAAGGTATGATGTTATCTCTCCTTAATTAGGTAGCTTCAATTTTATTATTCCTATTTCATTTGAGTGATAAATATAGATATGTTGAACCTTGTTGCAGGTTTTGACAGATTGTCGAAGTTGAGAAATTTGGAGGCACTTGATCTGAGTTGCAATTCATTTCATCGCAAAATTTTGTCATCTCTTAGTCAGCTTTCTTCTCTCAAGCATTTGAGATTTCGAAGCAGCCTTTTAGAGACAGAAAATTACGGCAATAGTAAGTTCAAAATACTTCAAATTCTGGTGGTTATTTCGTAGATCATGTAATTATCGAAGAACGAACTTTAGACAATAAATCAACTTATTATAATTAAACTTTTCTTGTTGCAGTATAAGATAAGAAATTTCTCTAAACCTTTAATTTTCTCTATTAACAGTATAGATCAAACAACCAATTTAACCTTATTAGTGTATTATGAGAAAAAGCGGAGGGAGTAAATAATTTTAAAATACAGTAACAATACAACATTTTTGAGAAAAAAACATAAAAGTGCAAGAATTTTCGGAGTGAAGACCAGATAACGTAGCTCCAACTTTTACTAATTCTATGAATATGAAAACATAGTCCATGGAAAAAAAAAAGGAAAAAAAAACAATATAAAAGCCAGAAACTAAACTTGAGATTTTATCATTAGTTTAAGTTGTTTATAAAAATGAAGATCTCAGTTTCATTTTAGATCAATCTACTTACCACACTGTAACTTGAAAATTATGCAAATTTCTCTCCTATTGCATTAAAACATTTGCCATTTATTCCTTCCTAGTAAATTTAGCGTCACTAAATGTACATGTTAATCGTATTGAGATAGATATTAATAGGGAGTGCTAATCACCCCAAGTAATTCAAATGCAATGATTAAGGGTATGCTTGGTACTTGAAAGTACAACAAAAAAGACATTTTCATCTATAATATTGGAATACACCTTACCACAGAAGCCATAATATTATTTTCATGATTCTCGTCCATTATGATTGTGTTTCAATGTTTAATAGCTTGATGAAACAGAAGCCATAATATTATTCAGTGTTTCATTATGGAATACACCTTTCTTTTTGTTTAATTATTGTCTCTGGGCATCTTTTCAATGTTGAATACCTTTGACGAAACATATAATTTTTTTTTTTTTTTTTACTAAAAATCATTGTGTAGGTCGTGAAAGACTCTTCGGATTAACCAAGCTGGAAGTTCTTGATTTTATGGGTAATTACGGGATTATCGACGATGATATTCTATCTGTGCTAAGTGAGTTTCCTTTCCACAAGCATGATATATTGTTTTTAGGCCAAAGGACCTTTTCAAAATATCTTATGTTTTTCAACAGATCTGAATGATTTTATCAATTTGAAGGAGCTCCAACTAAGTGGTAATGGATTTAGAAGATTGGGTTCCATTTATGGTATGTCATCCCATTTCATTCTTTATCCTCATTCATTTTTAGTTTCCTTTTCTTTCATTTGTTCACTTGTGCCTTATTATATATGAACAAAAGCATTCATGGCATTTTGCTCCCGGGCCCTTCCTTTCACTAAATAGAAGTTTGTTGTTTATCAGATATTGTATTGTAACCTATTGTGGGTTTGGTTATACAAACAGGTCTAAAATATTTGAAGGTCCTTAGTTTACAATCAAATTACTTCAATAATAGCATTTTCTCCTCACTTCATGGGCTATCATCACTGAAGTCTGTAGATCTCTATAACAATAAACTAAAAGGAACCATCCAAATGAAAGGTTAGTCCTGCAGTTTAGAACTCCTCCTTATTTTTCATACACGAGCCAAACAAAACTAATTTCTCAATCATTATTTTCACATTTAGCTTGTACATGTTTATTTCTCTACCTTCATCTAGATTTACATGCTTTGAGTAATTTGGAGGAGCTTGATCTAAGTCGTAATGAGGTTGACAACTTCACACTTCCAACAGGTACTCAACTAAGTTTTTCAAGTTTCTATTTTATGAATATTGGACGTCAATACGCTTAAACTTGAATATTACCCTGGAGAATTCTACGTTTCAGGCATCAAAAGTGTGCATCATCTCCAAGTGCTAAAATTAGATGACTTGTATGTCTCCAACATTAGCAACATGGTGCAATCTTTAAAGGCTTTCTCTTACCTCAAGCACTTCTATTTTCGGAACAATTATGTAAATGGAAGTATTGGATCTTATGGTAAGCCAAATAAATTGTAATTCCTAGTCACATAAATTGTAATATTAATTACAATATGAACTCCAATTCTAATGCACATTCCATTGCTTACATGTTTAAGAGTTGAGCCATTTTAGACGACTGGAGGGACTGTTCTTGGATTATTCTAACGTGGATTGGAACTTTCTACAAAGTACTGGAGCACTATCTTCCCTCAAGATTTTATCTTTGCCCAGATGCAGACTCAAAGGCACCCTTCCGGTTCAAGGTAAATTTGAAAGGCTTGTTTGGTAAACAATGTTTTTTCATGATTTGGCATACTGATTAACAAATTATTTCTATTTACACAATTTTACAACTATCCTTGCCTCTCAATTGAATTTTGGTTATTGAATACAAAGTCATCTCACGATTCTCTTGTAATGGATGCAAAATTACTGTAAGATGTTTTAGAAAAGAATAGATACTGACTACCTCACTGTATAGAAAAATATGTGAAAAATAAAAATGTACAAAAACATCCATTTTGTATCAACAAAAGTATTTAACTTCGTCAATTAGGACTTTCTAATTAATATAATTTGAAGAGGTTCGGCTGATAGTTACCTAAAAGAAATTAACTTTTACAATCTACAGCCTTTTTTTAATTGGTGAGAGTGGAAATAAGTAAGTTTTTAGTTACATTCAAAATAAATAAAGTTTTTAGTTACATTCAAAATAAATAACTTATTGCCGTCTTTCACCAATAAAAAAAATCACTTTTAAAAAATAAACTTTTTTACTTGAAAGTAAGTTTAGAGACAAGGAAAAAAAATGCTTTCTTTTTATAAGCAAAGCCTTTATATTCCCTATTTCATTGGTGGGCTTTGAAGTAGTAATTGTATTCGTTTGATTTGCAGGGTTGTGTAAGCTTAAAAACCTCCAAGAGTTAGATCTTAGTTGGAATGAGTACAAAGGAATACTTCCTTCATGTATTGCAAATATGATATCTCTTAGATTGGTTGAACTCTCACACAATTCTTTCACCGGAAATATTGCCTCCCCCCCACTTTCGAAACTCACATCGCTTGAATATCTCTCCCTTTCAAGTAACAACTTTCAAGTTCCAATTTCTTTTAAGGCATTCTTTAATCATTCAAACTTAAAGTTTTTATTTTTGGAAAACAATGAAATAATAAATGACAACGAGTTGGGAAATTGGGTTCCCAATTTTCAACTAGAGGTTTTTAGTATGTCGAAAACAAGAGGTCATCCATCATTACCCAACTTCCTTTACTATCAATCCAATTTGAGATTTCTTCATCTCCCAAATAACAGCATAGGACCAAATTTTCCAACTTGGTTGTTGGAGAACAACACAAGACTTAGGGAACTATACCTGAGGGATAATGCTTTTCTAGGACCTCTCAAGTTGCCAACAAGCACCAATTCCAATATGAAGACTTTCGATATATCTAATAACAAGTTCAATGGACATGTTCCAACTAATATAACTTCAGTTTTTCCAAACTTGGTCGCATTAAACATATCAACAAATATGTTTGATGGTTGTCTACCTTCTAGTTTCGGTAACTTAAAATATATAGAATTTTTAGACTTGTCCAGCAATAACTTGTCAGGCACAATACCGCAGGAATTAGTTATGGGATGCTTTTCTCTGAATTTTCTCAAATTATCGAATAATAAATTGCAAGGACAAATATTTCCAGAATCTATCAACCTACCAGACTTGGAATTTTTACTTCTGGATAGCAATGAGTTCTCAGGCACCATTCCAAGGAGTTTGTCTACCATCCTTCTTACAGTGTTAGACGTTAGTTACAATAGTTTGTCGGGCAAAATTCCTACATCAGTGGGTAATATGACAGTATTGGATGAAATTTCTCTGTCCAACAACAAGTTTGAGGGTCCAATACCAGAAGGAATTTGCAATCTCAATTATCTTCGCCTCTTAGATTTGTCTGAGAACAAGTTATGTGGTTCAATCCCATCTTGCTTCAATCCATCAACAATAAGTCATGTCTATCTAAACAATAACCAATTGGAAGGTGAGCTCACATGTACATTTTATAATAGCTCTTCTTTGAAGTCACTGGATCTTAGATGGAATAAGTTCATCGGAAATATCCCTCAATGGATTGGCAATTTATCAAGCCTGAGCATTATTCATCTCAGCAATAACCATTTTGAAGGCAAAATCCCTCACCAATTTTGTGATATGGACCATCTAAGCATGATGGACCTTTCTTTTAATTTTCTTTCGGGTCAAATCCCGCACTGCTTTGGTAACTTCACCAGGAAGTCTGGAAGGTTTGAAGAATCATTGATGTCTTCATTTACATCACTCTTATCTTACATGAATACGGTTAAGTCAGAAAGGGCCTATCACGTGAATTTCGACGACACTGGAGATTTCAATGTAATTTATGAGCCAACAACAGCGACATTCATGACAAAGAGAAATTCTTATATTTACAAAGGTGACATCCTGAATTACATGTCAGGAATTGATTTGTCTTCCAATGAATTACATGGTGAAATTCCAGATGGCCTTGGAAATTTAAGTGACATTCACTCGCTCAACTTGTCGTACAACTATCTTATTGGAACAATTCCAGAAACATTCTCAAACTTACGTCAGATAGAGAGTTTAGATCTCTCCTATAACAACTTGGGCGGGAAGATCCCCACTGGTCTGATCAAGTTAAACACTTTGGAAGTCTTCAGTGTGGCGCATAACAATTTAACAGGTATGATACCAGAGAAAGGTCAGTTTGGAACTTTCGATGAAGGTAGTTATCAGGGAAATCCTTATCTTTGTGGCCGTCCATTACCTAACGACTGTACTAGCACGGGATCAACACCTATCTTGCCATCTGCTGATGATGAAAGTGAGGAGAGCGGTTTCATGGACATGGAGTTCTTCTACATAAGCTTGGTCATATCTTATTTATGTGTAGTGCTTTGCATTGCTATAGTTCTATCCATAAATCCTCACTGGAGAAAAGCATGGTTTCATTTCATTGAGGTTTATATATACCATTTTTGAGGCTGTGTGTTCTGGACAAATCAAGGTATTTGCTTTAATTCTGTATGAAGATTATTAAATACTATACTAACTTTTATAACTAATACGTATTTACAATCTATCTCATCAATCTTGTCACTTTTCTTTCTAGATTTGATGAAGTAATGAAGCAGTAAAGCTAAATATAACAGCATGGTAGGAAGCCAAGATGGCTATGTGTATGCATATTCAATCATAAAAGTATGAAATGATTTTCAATTCTATACTTATATTAATAGATGGGAATGTGATTTGTTTCCCTGTTAATGTTTTTATTCGAGAAGAACAATAAGGAGCAACATTGGATTTGATTTCTAAAATAGCATAGTTTAATAAATGATTTATATTAGAACTTCTTTTTTTATTCCTTTTTCCTTTGTCCACATATAGAATTTGTGCATTACTCTTTAGTCACATTTTACCAAAGAGAGAGTGTGCAACCAATTATTCAGTTTGGTTTTCTTGTTACGAAAAGTAATTGTATCTTGGAGGATCGTTTTTGGACTTTTCTTCTCTGGATGCAAACTTTATTCAAAGTATAGGAGTAATGACTTCTCCAAAGTTATTATGTTTGCCTGGATGTGGACTCAATGGCACTCATCCCAACAAGGCAAAATTTTCACCTCCCAATCTCTAAAGGTTTTATTTATATATCTGCGAGGACCATGACATATATAAGTTTCTCTATATGTTTGTGTGTTTTTCTTCAATTATTTCTAGTTTCAAATTTGAATTTCACTAATTCTCTTCTATTTCAATTGAACTTTCTCTTTATTTGTTTTATAAAGAAATTTAAAAATAAAAGTTTGATAAATGCTAAGTGGTCACACTATATATATATATATATATATATATATATATATAAGCAAGTGTACATATATCTCCCTAAAGTAGTTGTTCAGTTATATATATATATATATATATATATATATATATATAAGCAAGTGTACATATATCTCCCTAAAAGGAGGATGTAGTTGTTCTTAGATTTGTTAAGAAAACCATAAGAAGATAATTGCTCGCTTTACCAGTAAATCCAAAATAATATGTAAGGAAAAATAAAAATGAATCCAAGTATCAATTTGTATTGGAAGGAAAGCTAACTTCGTTAATAAAAATTTTATAATCAACCCCAATATTTCTTATCTTTGTTTGGTTGGTTAGTGTTCAATTTAACTGGGTATTGTCAACTTAATAAACTTGAGGAGGTGGATTTGAGTAGAAATGAGTATGTAGAATTACTTTTACTTGTAATCTTTTCTATACACTTTCCTCGGCTCCGTTGCAATCATATTCGAACCAATATAAAATGGAAGGGTATGAATTTCGCAATTGTGGCATCCCATCATATCTAGAGAACATGACATCTCTTCTTATTGATTGAAGTATCGAGGAATAAGTCTGGAGAAATTGATGTGTCTTTGCCTTCGAAACTCACTTCACTTGAATATTTCCATTTTGAGTAACAACTTTCACGTGCCTATTTCCTTTGAGGCTTTAATTAATCCTTCAACTCTTTGTCTCATATTTGCCGAAGAAAATGAAGTAATAGCAAGTATTGAGTCACTACTAGAGATGGAGGCTTTAGAGACAGTTTTCTACCAACGGAAGCCATCCATTGCTATTAGTGACAGATTCCCACGATTTTCCTACGAAATGTTACAAAAATTCTATAAATATAAAATAAATGTGGTAGCAATGGAATTTATCAACAAAATGTAGCCGCAATTTAGATTTCGTTTTTAACCCGTGGGTAAATTTTCTTAAAAAATATATACAAAAATATAAAAATTACCAGCGAAGATTGTGACTACTAATGATTGTAAAATTTAAAAAAATAAAATAAAACATTAATTGAAATTTACCTACAGATTTATTCGTTGTTAATACACTAAATATTTGTTTGTAACATATTCATATTAATTTTTGTAACTGTAAAATATTTCCTACAACTTGTCTTGTTAGAAAATGATTTAATTCTAAATTAAATATGAAAGTAGGGGGGGCAAAACCCATGGCTCATCTCGTTCCCCTCACTCTACATTTCTCCCATGGCTCTACTCATCTGTGTCTCTCGAAATACTGGGCATTGCCGATGCTAACCTTCAATTGATTGATATAGTATCAATCATCAATTATTGAGAATCTTCTCTGAGCTAAGCTGTCTAAGATTTAATTCCTTTAGAATTTTTTTCTTCTCCAGAAAGTTGTATTGGGAATTTCATTAGACTGCATTTGGCTGAATTTGTGTGAGTTTTGTAGTGGAGGGAACTTGTATTTAGGTAAAGCATAATCCGTTATAATTCATATATTTGTTGATAGTTAGTATCCTATTTCGATTTTAAGTTAGGATTACTAGGTCATGCTGCTTTTGTAGTGGAAGATCAGGTTTTTTATATTTGAGACTTACCTTCAATGTTGGAACTTTTAATTAGTAAATGGCAAAATACAACCTTTGAATCAGTGAGTTTGCATTTGTAGTAGATGGTCAGGTTTCATAGGCTTGCTTTGAATGACGGAGCTTTTAATTAGTAAATGGCAAAGTACAACCTTTGAATAATGAGACTAGATTTCATAATTTTTGTTGACAGACATATTATATCTCTATTGTTAAGTTAAGATTGATGGGATATAGTGCAATAATAGAGTGGAATATCATGTTATTTCGATGTACACTAAATGTGTAAACTTCCTAGATCCGCCCCTGCAGGTAAGTAAATTAAGGAGAGTGTTAGGGGAATTTCAAGTAGAGAAAATGCTTAGAAATTTGGAGTATTGTGGAAGAATGTATATCTGTTTTTACCTTGTAGAGTGCAATATAGACTTGCATAGTTTTGGGTCTGGGAAAAAAATATTAAATTGTGAGTAGAGACTTGCTTCATTTTATTGATGATTTCTTGTTTTTGCTATTTAATAATCTGGGAAATTTTACTAGTATAGTTTCAGATTTTCTAATTTTTCTTATGTTTTTCTTATGTTGTTTACTTATCGAGCTTAATCATAAGAAGAAATTACCAACAAATGATGTGTTTATACTGGCTCATCATGCTCAACAAGTATATTACACACGTTTTCCAACGAAGGCTAGAGATAGACTTGATTGGTGGGCGGTTTTGAACCCAAAAGCAAGAAAATGTTCCCAATATACAAGGAATCATATCGGAGAATGAAGAGTGTAATGTGAGGGTGGAACTTGCATTCCAAGAGGATCAACTACCATCTACCCAAAAACCTATTCGAATAAATTCAGAATTTGATGGCCAAAATTTAGTTCATAATGATATTGGGGCTGAAAAAGTGGATGTGGCTGAATCTAGGATCTTTGATGTAGATTCTGAAAGGCATCATGTCGAAGAAAATACACAACTGGAGGACATTGACAGTAGTGATGGTTTCACAACATGTGCAAGTGAAGTAGAAAATTGTACTATTATTTTTCTTGTCAATTTTAGTTCAAGTTTTTAGTTTATTGTTCTCGTCATTGTTCATATTTTTCGTTGGCTGAATGTAGGAAACATTTGACATGTTTGTGGAAAAGGGAATAATGGCCAGGCTGGACAACAAGCTGGGTGATGTTTTGGTTCGAGAGACACGATAATGGTGTATGCCAACTCAACTTCTAGTGAATGTGCCCATTCGTAATTTCACATGTGGAGTTTCTTTTATCTATGTTTGAGAAATTTAGTTTTACTGATTTCTTTTATTTATGTTTGAGAAATTTAGTGATATAGTAAAATTATGTTTTTTCATAACTATATTTGACAAATTGGGTAATTTTGACAAATGATGAATCAGGAACTTTTATCTATGTTAAAAAATTTAGGTACATAGTAAAATCATGTTGGTAACTATAATTGACAAATTGAGTAATTTTGACAAATGATGAATCAGGAACTTGGAATTGGATATACTACAGCAGCTTGAGCCATGTCAATGACAAGCATAATCTCCTAACCAAACCTGAGTGTTGCCCCTTGTAATCTGCTGGATTAGATTGAAATTTTATTATTATTATTATTATTATTATTATTATTATTATTATTATTATTATTTTGTTTCCTTTCAATCTAAAAGTATTGATTGCTGCCCTGACCTGTTGGACACATATGTTCTGTTGGAAGCCCCTTGTATTGTATTGGACAATCTTGTATTGTATTTGAGACCTCTTTTGCCTTGGAAGTTTAGCATTTTTTCTTTAGTTCTATTTCTATGTTATTGGTTCTAAATTCGAGAAACTACCTGTGAGGACTTCAGCTGAATCAAAAATTGCTCTATATAGGGTTCTATTTAGTTAGACCAGTCATATAGGGTGATGGGTAATTATGGAATTCAGCACCAAAATAAGAATTGAAGTGGTTAGATTTCCATTTTCCAATCATCCGAAAATTGGTTGTGATAATAGGACCAAGCTCATTCATAACATCAGTACGCAAACCCCTAATAGCACCCATGGCTTACATTTAGTTGATGTTAAACAATCAATTCATTCAATTCAAAATTTTTTTTTTTTCAAATGAATTAGTTTTTGAGTCGATTTTCCTATAAAAATGGCCTGCATTCAGAACTCCTGGTGCAAACCCCTATCTGGAGCCAAATCTGATGTAGGTTGCATATCATGATTTATAACTAGACTCACTTGCTCTTTGGTGCATCTTTGGTCATTTTTAACAGATCTGAAAGCAGAATGATACAAACCAATAATTGTAGATGTTGTTTCTAACTCATCTTTCACGATTGGCAGGTGTGCTGAAAGCTTAGTAGTGGAGGAACCTATATCTATGTTATTGCTGACTCCATTTTAGATTTGAAATAGAAGATGTTTAGTTGATTGAGCTTGTATACTGGAGACTGACTCACTTCACAACTTTTACACTATTGTCAACTGTATAGCTGCTTGATGTTAGTCCACCATTAGGAGCCTTGAAAAAATTTGAGGATTTATTGTACCTACAAAGCAAGAGGCTCAAACAACTAGCTGATTCTGTCATCAATTTCAATAGTAGAAATCAGTTAGCTAATTCTTTTCCTTGCATTGATAGATTTTAACTAATTCTTTTTGTCTGCATCAGTACTTCATATACACGAATTAAATGCTAATTTTTTATCCACATAATGATAGAGAAATCATGACTTCAATACGTGAAATTTATATATATTATGCATGACATGCTATTTGATTTATTCCTAATCAAGAATCTTTTAAACTAAACTCTTCATTTATTGTTGTTTTCAGCATGAGAAATTAGGCAAGCCACATACTGCTTCAAAGTTATTCGAACGTGTACACCGTCGAAACAAAGGAGAAGGAGACTTCTTAGACATCAAGTCACTAATTGTGTGGGTAAGTAGAAAAAAATCTCGTTTTCATTAGACTTTACACTGTAAATGTCATGTTATTAGCTAGCTAGTTCTAGACACTAAATGGTGGTTGAAAGATTTGTAAATATTATGCTCTAAGTCCAATCAACTTTGGACAAAAGTACTTTGAATATATAGTTGATGCAATTTCATGGCATATCTATTATGTAATTAATATTCAATTAAATTAAATAATAGAATCTATCGATTCAAATCTTGGTCATTTTTTAATCACAAAGAGTCGTAATTGTGAGATACAAATTACATATAATTGAATCTTAAATTATCTGTGGTCGTAAGTAATAACAAAATATGGATATCATTATTATGGAGAGACCATCATGTGTGGCATTTCTTATTTGTGAAGTAAGATGTGATCTCACAAGCTAAAATGTGATGACACTTAAATGAACACGTGGATATTTTTATTATAGAACAAAACATAGGAGATCATGGATAACTATTTGAGTATCAGTGGTTAATCTCCAACGTTCGATAGTGGAATTGATTATTTGAGTTGAGATCATCATAATGCCTTATATGAGGGCATTCATACTTTGATGATGTTAGATGTTGCTTTGTCAATGGCCGCTAATACGACATCATTCGGGTATGTCAAGAATCATATGAAGGTTGTGATTGATCGAAAGAGGATTCGTCACTCTTAGATAATAAGAGATTATAATCCATATTTCATTCAATTAATTTGATAACAAAATCCTTGGTCAAGGTGTATTCACAAGTTGAAAAGGGATTTTCAACTTACATTGACTTAATAGTAGAATGAAAGATATGATCGATAATCGAGATTGACACATCTCGTAATTGATCGGATCATATTGACGAAATGATTATAATTTCATGGTAAACAAATAAGTTTGGTTTTGTCATACCACGTGATACTTTCCGTCACCTATATCATCTTGACACATTGCTAAATGTCAATTTGGGACGGCGAATGAGAATTGTTGATAAATTAAAATGGATGTTTTAATTTATCAATTTTGATTAGCTCAAAATAATAATTCACGTAATTAGGCATTGTGTTTGGAAACCTAATGGGTCACACACAAAAGGAGAACTAGAAGATTGAGATTTGTCAATTAATTAACTTAACAAGCGTTGTTGATATATTAAATAATTGAGTTACTTATTTATAGGTCAAAATTAGTTAGTTGGATTAATTAATTTATGTACCAAATTTAATTAAATGAGTTAATTAAATATTGGACCAGGTTAGGAGATGGGCCAAGCCTGTTTATAGAAGCTATGGTTTAGAATTTGTAGAGAAATTTCATTCTTCTAGCTAGCATATGAAAAGTTGACACTAGTTCTCTCTCAATCTTATTCCTTGTGTGGATTTCCGTTGGAAACTGGACAATTAAATATCTATGGATGACATATCAAAATTGGTGGAACAGAATAATAACAAAGGAGTTTGCAAAATTAAAGAAATGTATAATTTTTATCACAATTTTTATCTTAACACAAAGCAGATCCTTGGTAGGAATTGAAATTTGTTTTATTTTCCATCGTGCATGTTTAAGTAAATTCAAAATAGTTGTATCAAAACCTACTTTGTGTTTTTAGAAATTTTTTAATGTCTTTTTGGCAATCAAAAGTTAATTATTATACCTTTTCTAATTTCTAGCAATTAATGAAATTTGATTTTCTTTTCTTGGAAATTTGTTAAATAATTTTTCATATTCAAAATCTTATTTTGAAAACAAAAAAAATGAAAATTAGAAGCGAATTGGCGACGATAGGCGGCAACAGTTGCCACCGGCCATGGCGTTGTAGCACATGGCGGCTCATGCTGCCGAGCGCAAAGAAGCGCAAGGTGGCGCGTTGCCATGCTCAATCTGCATCCATGGATACCAATGTTGATTGCAATGGCACTAGGTCCAGATGCAACGGCGACGCTCATCGCCGCTACTATTTATCGAAACCGAATCTTGCAGCAGTAAGTGTGCGCTGTTTTCCTGCCTTGGCTATGAGCCGCCACTCATGACGTAGAAATGACGCCGGTAAATGTTGGCGTCTACCAAAGAGATGAAAGGATTTCAGGGTTAGGGTTTTCAATTGGGTGAATGTTTTGGAGATGGGGCCTTTCTCTACAATTTGTGAAATTTCGGGGGCCACCTACAATTATAAAATGGAGTAAGTTTGCATATTTTAAATGAAGGGTCTGTCATGCAATTTTCCAAATTGAAGGACTTGCTATTAATTTGAAACTTGGGTCAAATTGTAATTTTCAAAAGGTGTTTTGAATTTAAATATTAAAATGGTTTTAAATTTGATTTTAAATGGATTTGATCTATATTTCAATTTTGTCCCAATTAAAATTCAATTTAGGATTGACGACTTTTATATTTTCACTAAAATCAGATTTAAACATAAAATGTTAATTTAGGAGTTTTATACTAAATTAAAATTTTAATTCAATTTAAATTAGGGTTGGACTCTAATTTAGTACTTTATTAAAATTCGATTTTAATTAAATAATTCACCCTAATATGTTCTTGAAATTAGAATTGGATTCTAATTTGTTATTTAATTGAAATTTGATTTTAAATTAAATTGCCTCGCCATAAAATTCTTCTTGAAATAGATTTGGATTCTAATTTTGTATTTAATAAAAATTTGATTTTAATTAAATAGGTTTGCCCTTAAATCTTAGAATTAGAGTAGGACTCTAATTTTTTTAATTTAATTCAAATTTGAATTTGTTTAAATTCATCTGCTTATGTTTTGAAATTAGCGTTGGACTCTAATTTGATATTTAATTAAATTTTGATTTTAATTAAATAGTCTCGCCCTATAATTGTGGAATTAGAGTTAGACTCTAATTCGATATTTAATTAAAATTTGATTTTAATTAAATATTCTTGCAAATTAAATTAATTGATTATTTAATTGTTCTGATCCATTTGTCTAAAATAGTTTAGACGACATTAATTGCTACAAACTTGAAACATGTTTGCATATAATATTAGATATTATATAGGCATGCATTTATTTGATGAATGTATTATTAATGGATGATTATGGACTTGACTATATGGATATGTGGAATGGTCAATTTTATTCTTGTCATTTTATGGGCATGCGAGCTCTTAATTGTTTTGAACCCGTGGGTCCGTTATTATTGTGGGCCTATAAGCTCTTAATCATTTTGGATTTGCGAGTTCGTTATTATTATTGTTACTAAGGGTCTGGGAATCCAATTTAATTTAGTCCACGTGCCAACTAGAATAGGATACAGGTTGTAGCTGGACTGATTGAAGACTTAAGAAGAGGAGAAAACTATGGAGATAGTGTATTGATACTGATCAATGCTATACCCCTAGGAATTGACCAACTGGTCTTCCTTATAGCTCGGGAAGACTGGATAGTAAAAGTTAATCGTCTACACTATTATATTATATTATATATATGTTTACTTGCATGGTAGATGTATAATAAAATATATATGATTGCTACGATGAGACCTTTCAATACAAAACACCTCAATAAAATATTAAGTCATATTTTACATTCGCCTTCTATCATTATAATGAAAAACTAGAGTCTCAAATCTTCTCAATTTGTTTATATACTCAAGGCTGGTTTATTAGGGATATATTTGACACTATAAAATATTAAATATTTCTGAATGATGGTCTCAACTTAACTAAAGTTTATCTTTTGTTTATTATACTTAAGAAGATAAATTTTGGAGATATGTTAAGCTAACCCATAAGATGTGTGAAGATAAGGAGTTGTCAGTTTAATGATTTGGGAGGTGTATGGAGATACAATTGATAATATTGTCTACCCAAATATTTTATTAAGGCTTGTTGAATACACTTAAGGTCTTAATTTAACAAATGTGATCCCAGCCCACTGAGAGTCAAGTATGGATTTCATAAATTTATGTGAGGGGGTCATAAATTTGAGTTAAATAGTGGGAGCATAATTAATTTAATAAAAGTCAATGTTAAATTAATTGATGCATTTTATATATTTTTTTATTTTCTTTTCATTATTTATATTGAATCTTGAGTAACCATAAGTATTTGAGAGGCATACTGGAAGCCAACAATCATACCAAATCTTCTTGATTGGCACTACGATCAAATAAATGTCCTCAAGCATGAGAAAATTGGTTATGTCCTTAAATAGCTCTTTCTAGAGACACTGCTGATGACTCGATTAAGGAAGAGGTGACTGCTATAATAACACTGTGATGACAATAGTACCGTGACATGTGTGATGTTTGCATTATGTCACCTGAGTTACAAAAATGACTATACCGATGTAAAATGATAGATGGAAAAATGACTATACCGATGTAAAATGATAGATGGATCTTCAGTCAATGCTCATATATGTTTAGCATTGAGAAGTTGTCTCAATTAGATTCAGCAATGAACTATGTAGTTCTGCCATCTCTGTTAGAAAGCTATTCATACTAATTATGCATTATGATGTGTATAAGTTCGAATGCACACTCATTAAGTTGCTTGACATGCTTAAAACTTTTAAACCCAATATCAAAGTTAGTAGTGCCAAGCCATTGATTCCTCTAAAGGTATTAAGAGAAAGTCTAAAGGAGCTTTGGAAAAGCATCCAATATGACTAAGACGATCAATACCAAATCTAATGACCTTTGTGTTTCATTATAGAATGAAAGGTCATTGAGAAAAATATTGCAAGGCTTATGCCTACTTCATGAGCTTCTTAGGTATTTGATACTAGATGTGGAACTCATATTTATGTAAATATAGAGAAACTAAGTAAAAGTAGACCACTATAAAAGGAAGAAGTTGACCTGAACGTTGTAGATGAGCAAAGGTTGCTACATTACTTGTAGGAGCATACTTCTTGCCATTGCTTTTAGGCTTAATATTGGAATTAGAAAAATGTTACTCTATACCCAATATAACTGGAACATTAAATGTATTACATGTTCGGACATGAACTATTTTCATGTTAAGGACAATTGTTGTTCCTATTTATCTTGATAAAGATCTTAACAGTTATAGCAAATTACAAAATGATATTTATATTCTAAATGCTGAGCATTCTATAATGAGTATAGAAGTTAAGAGGCATTAAAGTGATAATCTGAATAATACCTAAATCTGGCATTGTAGACATGGTCAATAGATGAAATGCAATTCTGAAATTACATTGATATGTATACTTGGGGTCAACTGATTTTGAATCATTTAACAAGTGCGAATCATGCCGGTTTGGCACAATGACCAAATCCCTTTTACTTGAAAAGGAAAAAGATCTGCATAATTACTGGCCTAATACATAGTGATGTATATGGGCCCACGTCAATTAATGTCAGATGATGTTTCTCTTATTTCATCAATGATCATGTACACTTAATTAAATTCAGGCATAAAGCTCTTGAAAGGTTCAAGGAATTCAAGCTAGAAGTAGAGAAACAAATAGGGAAAGATACCCTCACATTAAGATTTGATCGAGTTGGAAATATCTTACAAATAAAAGTTAAGATTATCTAAAAGAGAATGATATTCTCTTGCGGTGGACTCCTCTGCAACATAATAGTGTATTTGAAAGGAGGAATTATAAACTATTTGATATCGTATGATTAATAACAAGCCATGCAAACTTCCCAAAATCATTTTGGAGTTATACATTGATTGTAGTATGCTACACACTAAATCATGTCCCATCAAAGTCAGTTAACCAAACTCCATGAGAGCCATGAAAAGACAGTAGTCCCAATTTATCTCATATGGAACTTTGGGACTATGACACTTATTTGAAATGCACTGAATCGGATGAGATTGAGACTAAATTCGATAAATACGTATTTGTGGGATATCCTAAATAAAGATTTGGATATCAATTTTATAAACTTGTTGAGAAGAAAGTCTTCGCCTCACGATATATCGTCCTCTTAGAGAAAATGTTTATCTAGGAAAGACAATGGGAACAAAATAGAACTTGAAAGAGTTCAAGTATCCACATATATAGTTGACCAAGTAGATGAATCTTAGTTTGATCCCACACCTAATAAGGGACATACTCTTGATCAGAAAATAGAGACTCTTGGGGACATGACAGCTCCATTTAAATCTAGTAGGATCATTCGACCTTCAAGAAGGCGCAAATCCACAATTAATAATCAAGTATTTTTAATTGAGGATGATGAACCTAGTAATTATGTAGAAGTAGAGACAAGTGCTGACTCAAATAGATGAGAGCAGGCCATGGAATCTGAAATGAACTCAGTGTATTAAAACAAGGTTTGGACCTTGGTCAACCATCCTGATGGGATAAAACCCATATGTTGTAAATGGTTTATAAGGAAAAGGTCGACATGGATGGGAATATCCGTTCATACAAAGCAAGGCTAGTAGCAAAAGATTAAGTGTTGACCTTGATGAAACATTTTGCTCGTAGCCATGCTGAAATCCATTCGAATTTTGGTTGCAATAGTTTCATATCATGGCTATGGGTTAAAGCAAGCCTCTTGAAGTTGAAAAATCTTCGATTTGATGGAAAAATCAAAAGTTTTGATTTTATAAAAAATGAAGAGAAATTGTGTGTTTACAAAAAGATGGTGGAAGTATTGTCGCATTCATAATATTATATGTAAGACATATTATTAACAAGAAATGATATCCTACATTTCAACCGTTGAAATTGTGGTTGTTGAAGGATCTCTTCATGAAAGATCTATAGAGATAGAAGTGAAAGATTACTTAACTCATCCCAATCTGCATAGATAAAATCTTAAGAAGATTTTAGATAGAGAAATCGGTTTACTCTTAAGCAGTATGTTAAAAAGGTTCCAAACCTAAAACAACCGTTGATTCAATGTCAGAAACCTAATACATGATTGCTTCAAAACCAGCAAAGAGATTCAATGTGGATCAAGATAATCATTAATGAACTTGGAGTAGTTCATTACATTATTAGCCACAATCCCTTGTATTGTGATAACAATAAAGTCATCACGCAAGCGAAGGAACTAATGTCTCATCAATGATCTAGACATGTGTTAAGGCAGTGTCATCTCATGCGAGAGATAATAAAAAGAAATGACGTAAAGAAAGGAACAAATTTCCACAATTGATAACATTGCAGATCCACTAACAAAGAATTGTCGTAGTATAAACATGATCGTCATGTAGATTCTTATAATATTAGATACATAAGTGATTAGATTTAGTTCAAGTGGGAGTTTGTAAGTGTTATGTCCTAGGTCCAATTAACTTTGGACATAAGCATTTTGAATATATAGTTGATCCAATTTTGTGGCAGATCTATTATTTCATTAATTAAATTAAATTAAATAATAGAGTCTGTAGATTCAAATATTAGTAATTTGTTAATCACAAAGAATTTTGATTGTGAGATACAAATTACATATGATTGAATCTTAAATTATCCATGATTGTAAGCAATAACGAGATACGGATATCGTTATTACGAATAGACCATCGCGTGTAGTATTTCTTACTTGTAAAGTAATTGATCTCACAAGCTAAAGTGCCGTGACACTTAAATGAACACGTGAATATTTTTGTTATATAACAAAACATTGAAGTCCCGCTGGGAGATTCTTCATGGATAATTATCTAAGTATCAGTGGTTAATCTTCGACGTTCGGTAGTGGAATTGACCCTTTGACTTGAGGTCATCATAGTGACATATATGAGATCATTCATACTTTGGTGATGTTGAATGTTGTTCTGCTAAGGGCCGCTAATACGACATCATTCGAGTATGTCAATAACCATATGAAGGTTGTGAATGACCAAAACAGGATTCGTCACTCTTAAATAATAAGAGGTTATGATCTATATTTCATTCAATTAAGCTGATAACGAAATCTTTAGCCAAAGTGTACTCATAAGTTGAAAATGAGTTTTCGACTTATATTGACTTAATAGTGGAATGAAAGATATGATCGATAATCGAAATTGACACACTTTTATATCTCCTAACTGATCGGATCATATTGACGAAGGGATTATAATCATGGTAAACGAATAAGTTTGGTTATATCATACAATGTGACATTTTTCGTCACATGTATTGTCCTAACACATTACTAGATGTCAATATGGGACGACGAATGTGAATTGATGATAAATTAAAAGGGGTGTTTTAATTTATCAATTTGATTAGATCAAAATAATAATTGACATGGTTAGAAATTGTGATTGGGAACCTAATAGGTCACACACAAAAAGAAAACTAGAAGATTAAGATTTACCAATTAATTAATTTATCAAGCATTGGATAGATTAATTAATTGGGTTACTTATTTATATGCTTCATGGACCGAATTTAATTAAATGAGTTAATTAAATATTGGACCGGGTCAGGAGATGGACCAAGCTCATTTGGGCTTATATAAATAAGCAGCTAGGGTTTAGAATTTATAGAGAATTTTCATTGTTCTTGCTAGCGTAAAAAAAGTAAACCCTAGTTCTCTTTCAATCTTGTTCCCTATATGGATTTCCATTGGAGGATAGACAATTAGATAGCTATGGGTGGCAGATCAAGATTGGTAGAATAGAATAATAGCAATGGTGTTTGTAAAATTAAAGAAATGTACAATTTCTATCATAGTTTCTATCTGAACACAAAAGAGATCCTTGGTGAGAATTGAAATTTGTTTTATTTTTCGCTGTGCATGTTTAAGTAAATTTCCAACATGATTACCTTCTTGGAGATTTCATGAACTCATTATTTGCTCATGTACATTAAGTTACTCCGACGAAACTTCTTAGAAGTAATAGTGTCACCACGTCATTTGTTCTATCATGTTTCTATATATTGTTGGTTTTCTTAGGGTCTAATATATGTGTAATAAAGAACTTTATATTGTATCTTCAAGTTAACTAAAGTTATATATTTTTGTAGCACTAAAAAGATTTTAATCCATTATCATCTTGGGTCTAAAGAAATTTGGATGATTTGTTGATAGCATTGTTTAATACATTTTGATTCCTTGGCATTGATGTTTGATGTAAATCAACATCTATTTAGAATTGATTGGTGCTGCACAAAAGATGCTTTTGTGGTTTTGGCTTGAATGACCCTCCAATTTTTATGGTTTTGGATTGTCTGCATTTTGGGCATTAGCAAGGATAGTAGTGTTAGCTACTACGGTATGCAATGTTACTAGTTTCACTTCTAATATACAATAATTCACGCCTTTTTTCCTTTATAAAGTTGAGCTACTTCTTGCTTTACAGGTAAAATATGACAATACAATTCATGAAAAATATGGTTCAAATGGGTCACGGCTTGAAATTGACATTAAGCATGGTGTGAGACAACTCAAGGTCCTCATAAAGGTGGTTGCCTATAGGAGCTTGGTATACAATGAAAATTTTTTGCACAAAGATGGCACCTCATCGGGTTCACCTAGTTTTCCATGGACACGCTGATTTCGTCACTTTACAAGAGGAACTTCATTTCGCTTGTGAAAAGATAAATGAACTTACAAGGGAAAATGATGGATTACTTCAAAAAATGGAAGATGTTAGGCGAGAAGAAGAGAAAAAGTGCATTGAATTCGAACAAACCATACTTCGAATGTTGGGAGAAAGGAATGGATCACGAGACTAGTCATTTGAGTATGATGATCTTCTATGGTTGGGTAGAGTAAATGTTTATTTTCTTCATAAAAATTTACCATTGAATGTGTGTAAAGCTTCCTTTTGCTAATTGATCATGTATATAATTTTAGTATTGACTTTTGAAATGGAAGCAAAACTGGTCTAATTTTGTGTTACTCAAACCTTGAATTAATGGAATGTAAATATTTGTATTTCATATTTGTTCAGTTATGATTTTATTTTATATATTTTAACTTTTTAAATAGTTTTAAATTCACAATAGAAATAAGATAACAAATAGTTTCGTACGAAATATGTAGGTAGTTAGCGACAGAAAAAATGAAAGACTCGTAACTATTTAAGAACAATTAATTCCGTAGGATATATGTTGATAGTTAGTGATGAAGATAGAAACGAAAGATTTGAAGCTATTTAGGAGCAATTAGTTCCATAGGAAATAGTTGGTAGTTACGGACGGAAACAAGAACAGAGATCTGTAGCTATTTTAGGAACAAGTAATTAAATCGACGTTAATCACACGCGGATTAGTCACGAAATTTTCGTTACCAATTAGCTATGACAAATTTTGCTGGTGGACAGTGACGCACATTTTCCCTTACTATTACAGGCGGTCAATATAAATTCGTCGCTATAATTACCTGCGATGTCTACTGTTGAATTTACTAGTGGATGGATTCCATCTTTAAAAGTTATTACCAACGAATTTTGGGACTTCAATGACACATAATTCTGTCTCTAAAACTAGGTTTTTTTTGTAGTGAGTTACGAAATTGGGTCTCTAACTTCCAACAAGAGGTTTTCAGTTGGTCAAATTACCATCTAACTCTACCTCACTTTTTAAGAATTCTTGATCTCTCATGTAACAACTTGGGGAGAGATTAGCCAACTTGGTTGTTAAAGAACAATATTAGATTCAAAGGTGCCTACTTTAGAGATAATGCTTTTAGAGGAACTCTCAAGTTGCCAACAAGTACCATCTCAATATGAAGTCTTTTGATATTTCTAATAAATTTATAAGACATATTCCAACTAATATATGTGTATTATTTCCAAGTTTAATTCCAATAAAGATATCCAAAAAGGTGCTTAATGGTTGTGTAAGTGTTATGTTGTAGGTCCAATCAACTTCGTATGTAAATACTTGTAATATGATTAATGCATGTTATTTATGAAAGATATATTATTTAATTGAATTATTATTCTGAAAAAATAAATTAATATAGTCAATAGATTTAAATTTTGATAACTTGTTAATCAAAATGAATTGAGATTGCGAGAAACAAATTACATATGATTAAATCTTAAATTATCCATGGACATAAGCAACGACAAGAAACGGATATCGATATTACTGGTAAACCAGCACGTATGACATTTCTCACTTGTGAAGTGAGTAGCTGACATTTAAATGGATGCATGGATATTTTATTCAGAGAACAAAATATTGGAGACTCACAACACATATTTCACATGGATAACTATTTGAGAGTCAATGGTTAATCTCTAACGTTCGATAGTTGAATTGGTCCTTTGACTTAATGTCATTATAGTGCCTTATATGAAGATAATCGTATTTTGGTGCTGTTGGATGTTGCTTCACCAAGATTCACCAACATGACATCATTCTGGTATATGTTAAGAATCACATGAAGGTTGTGAATATCAACAATCTTAGCAGAACAATTCCAGCAACATTCTCAAATCTACATCAACTCAATAGTTTGGATATCTCCTATAACAACTTATAAGGGGCAATTCCCACTGGATTGATCAAGTTAAACTCTTTGGATGACTTCAGTGTTGCGTATAGCTTTTGGAAACAAAAAGATATCTCTCAATTTCAGTTTTTCATCTGAATATAATTGACAAATGTATCTAGCAAGAGTCATTGAGATGGGATCAAAAATTGAGAACATGTTACACTACAAAAGAGTCTAAATTCACGAGTTTCAACAATCCTAAAAGGTAGTTCATCTACTATTATTATCTTAGTACATGAAACTTTGACCTCTTCCTCTCTATGACCAATAGCTACAAGGTTTCTCCCATTACCCTCTTTTCGATTCTCAAAAGATATGATTTATTGCTTCTTATCCTACAATTTACTAGAATACTTTTTACAATTATTTGTGAAGTGGTCACCAAAGTGCTTGTAACATACTTAGAGCCACAAGCATAATCCACTCCACACTAGTTACACTTTCATCTAACATTTGGATCATCCCTTGGGCCCAATAATGCGAAGAAATCCTAGACACATGAAGCTATTCTATTAGATTTTCACTATCATGATGGTGACAGGGGATGTGGAAGAAGATATGATAGCATACATGTGTCATTTAATAGAGCTACCATATCATTTTCTTCACTCACAACAATAGCTACCAAAAAAGATTAATCAACCAACTAAAACTACAGAAGTATTAATGCACCATAAGAAAGCAAGAATATTGCACCCGTGTCCATTTTACTTTAGGCTTTTGCAAATAACAACAAAACACATTAACTTGAATTAGTACCTGATGTGGTGCAAAAGGAATGGGACTTCATGGCAAAGTGGCACCAGCGCAAGAAAAAATAATTTGGAGGAAATTTGGAGTTGTCCGTTTTTGACGAATTTGTAGTCTAATTTAGTTGGAAACGGGCTGAAAAGTTAAACACAAAGGCTTTGCTTTTGACGTAGGACCAATTTCGGGCAAATTCCTTTGTTTAGGCCTTCGTTTAGACCTTTTTTGGTAATTCTTATTTTGAGTATATCTCAGTCAAATAAATTCAGATTTACATTCCGTTTGTGGGAGAGTAATCCCGAAGATTAGGACTATTAATTTCTGTCATTATCTTGATTTTTTCCATGTTTGGGAAAAAAATCTTTTTCTATTATTATTTAATTTCCGAATCTTCTAGGTTTTTGCTATAAATACGTTGTAAGCCTCTTGAGGCCGCAAATTGATTTGAATGAAATAAAACTTTTCGTGAGTTTTCTTCTTTGTGAGGTTTGTTCATCTTCTCTATAACTTCCGCTACGTCAGTTCCACCACAAAAAAAAAAAGATTATTAGTACCACCATGAAATAAACTGAAGTTACAGAATATGTGCTTTATAGACTTCAATAAACGTGTGGTTGGAAGAACCAAACTATACAAAAGGATAATAGTCATAACTCACAAACACTGATAATAACATTTATATATTTATGCACTTCTAATTGCAAACTCACAAATACAGACCAATTCCCAAACACTAATAATACCTTTTAAATTCATATTTCAAGCGCTCTATTCTAAAAAATAGGATTGCCAACTATACTGGAAAAAATCAGTTCCATATACTTACACCGTACAATTTCATTAAGTTGGATAATTAAATAGCAATTCTTTAAATTATAAATTCAGCAATCGCTACCTTGTAATTGGGAATCTCCCCCATCAATAAAAACCACATTAAAAAATCGAGGCAAGAGGCTGAGGCACGAGCAAAACTGAGAGAAGATGAGAGGTAGATGAGACGAGAGGCAAAGAAGAAAATTGAAATGTTTGAAATTGATTTTTAGGTCTTTGGTTTTTAAGTACTAATTTTTTTTTTTTTAAATACTTTATAATTTACTGGATTGGTTGAGCTATGTTAAATTGGATAACCCAAGACCCGAACCGAGGAACCTAAAATTTAATTTCTTACCCAAACTCCAGTAAATTGAACTAAAAAACAAACTCAAACTTGATCGGCTTGAAAGAGAAATTGGTAACACATGGAACATCACGAAGTATAAGAGATTTTATGATTTTGGTTGTTCCTATATGAGTGAGATGTACTATTTCTCCATTAGGTAATGCTACTGAGAATGAAGCGTGGGCTTAAATAGAATGAAACAATGAGCTGGAGCAAATTATGTGATTCCTCCGATATCCAAAATCTAAGGAGCACCTGATGTATTATAAGGTTTTGAATTAAAAAAGACAAATACTGAGATTTTGTGGATATTTCCATCATCAGATAGTTAAAAAATGGTTTGAACATAAATTGCCGAAGGGATGAATGTTTGATTGTTAGGGGTAGGCTTCAAAAGTGCCAATAGCTTAGAATATTTCTCATGAGTTATTGGCATTTGAGGTTTGTCCTTTACAAATTCCTACTCAGAAGTCGGAGCTATGGAAATTGCTTCACAATAGGCCTATTCTACCGACAGACTTGTATCTTAAGTACATAGGTCTATTTGACTTTTCCTTGAAACTTCTTTCCTAAGAATGCCTAGGTATTTCACAAAAGGTACAATAGTACGTATCCATTTTATGTGATCCAGCAGGTTGCTTAACTACCTTTCTAAAACTACCTCTGCTCAACACTGCTATAGAATCACTACTCAAGCCATCATTTCAAATTTCTCTCATCTTTTCTTCTTGTTGAATGATAAAAATAACTTCATTCAAATTAGAAAACGGCTTAGTTAATAGAATCTGTGCCTATATCCCCTTATATGAGTCATTAAGCCCAATAAAAACTTCATTACTCAATCATTAGCTACTTGTAAACATCCACAAGTACAATTAGGAATTGACTCATAATTCAGCAATTCATTAAGTAATGTCTTAAGCATAGAGAAACATACACTTATAAAATCTTGGTTTTGCATCAAGAATGTTATGCCTTGCTTTACCTTAAAAACCCTTGGTGCATTTTGTAGTGTAAAGTACTATTCAAGCACCAACCAGAGCTGATGTACAATCTTTGCAAAAATTGTGTTGCCTTTAATGTCCACAGCGATGGTATTTTGAATCCATGTTAGCACAATATCATTTCATCTCAACTAATGCTCCATTAGAGGGTCGTTGGGGTGAGATTGTTCACCAATGTTGCCATCGATGGACCAACTTGTTCTTAATCTGAGATGTATAAGCTAGTAAATCTAAGAAGGAATTGCATAGATTAATTTGGAGAGAATTGAAACTTTGTTTTCATTCTTTTTACAAGTTGTTACAAAAGAGACCCAAAAGATCAACACCGAAAAATTACAGAACCAAGACCAATGACCAAGGCATCAAGTAATCATCGATTGGGCTCAAATCAATCATTTTACCCGTCTGTACAAGGTGATTAGCTCACAAAACCACAATCCAAAACACGACCCAAAGGCTGTCACTACAATGGATACAAGTCTCTCATAAAACCACAGA